CTCACTCTCACTCTCACTCTCACTCTCACTCTCACTCTCACTCTTACTCTTACTCTTACTCTTGCTCTTGCTCTTGCTCTTACTCTTACTCTTACTCTCACTCACCACCACCGCCACCGTCACCACGATCCCCACCTTCATCACCACCATCACCTCTCTGGACCCCAATGCGTCTAGATCTCTAGACTCTCTGCTTATAGACCTCACATACACTGTTTGGGGTCTCTTGCCGGGATAATTTTTATCCAAGCAGACCATTCCATTCTGGACGGAGCGATTCACACTGCTCCAGGCCCTGGCCTACCTGCATGAACAGAACTTGGCTCATGGACACCTTTGCCCTGAGAGCTTCCTCGTGGATGATGATGGAGGACAACTGGAAAAGCGAGCGCCTCTTTCTGCAAGAAAGAGACAGGACACCCGCTGAACCTTCGAGGTTTGTGGCATTGAGTCCGTTGAGTCTTTTGGTGAGTGGATCAACGTCCACGAGTGGATCAACCGTGAACATCCAGGTGAATCCACAAGGGTTTGATGGTTGAGGGGCAGTTTTCTCATCCCAACCGCTGGATTCAGAGTTGATCTCAGTGATCGAAATGGCCCAACACCCGAGTGGGCTCAAAAACCGCCATCCCACGGGGAGGACGACTGAGAGACCCGGCAAGCCTGGCAAACCCTTTTTTGGCAAACAAAGAGGCTCCTACTGTATCAAGAGGTGTCAGATTGGTTCCAGGTGTCAGAGGGGTTGTCAGATGGGCTCCCAAGGACGAGTCCGCCAGATGGGTTCCAGGTTTCTACTGCCGTAAGATTCCAGGCCCGAACGACCCTGCTTAAGGTGAGCTCATTTTGGGTTAGTCTGCAGGACGTGCCCCCCACGATTCGTCAGCGGGACGCGAGGTGCGCTTGATGTGGATGCCTGGACAGAGGCGAATTGAGGGGCCCGAAAGCCCAGAGAAGTGAGCCCTTCGGGCCGTTGGTGTCCTTTTTTCTGACTGCTGCATGTCGAGAGAAATTACATGTGAGTTTTTAAAGAAGCAGCCATGTCCCAGACGTGCATGGCCAAATTTAAGAGCCTTCAATTGAGGAGGCACGACTTTTTTTGGACCTCAAATTGGACCTCAAAGTGGAAGCCCCAATTTCTGGAGCACCCGTTGGACCACAGATCTTATCCACTCCAACCGGGTCCAACGGCTTCGATTTCGACGACCCCGTTGTCTCTTCAGGACTCGACGTGCCCCAGCCACCCTAGGCTTCAAAGGTCGGACGGGACGTGAAGTCGTTTGGGACGTGATGTCAGGTATCGGGAAGGTAGAGAATAGTAGAAAATGGCTGCTTGGGTGACACAGGTTTGGTTCTGGAATCCGATTTGCAATGACGAGCCTTGTAGAGAAACTGACTTCATTCCTATATAAGTGCATGTTCAAATAAGCATGCCAGTTCGGCATGCATGCAGAAGAAGCATTCTTTGGCCAACTCCCTGGTCCTTTTTGTCTTTTGTCTACTTGCCCTGTTTGTCTGTTTGCTGCCGATTCTCTTTTGACCATGCTGTCCCTGTTTGTCTTGCCATCCAAAGATCCCTCAAGGTTCCCTCCAAAATGCCCTTCCATTTTGATCCATGTCGGACCATGTCCATATTTCTTGGAATCTGTCGGGCCTCTGACTCTGATCCATCCATCCATCTGCAGGTCCAGGAGATGATGGCAGTGCTGCAGGCGATCTGTGGTCCTTCGGCTGTGTCCTTCTGGCCGGGCTCCTCGTCGTGCGGCTGCGTTGATCGGCGCCGATGCCGATGCGCTTGGAGCGCTTGTGCTTACAAGCTCGACTGAAGCTCGTCCACATGGGGGGTTGGGCATTGGAATAGGGAATTTCATATATAAATAGACTAAAACCCATAGGTTGAGTTTATGTCCACCTTACGGTCAGCTGAGTGGCCATGGCATACTTCGGAGATCCGAGAAACGACTTTCAAGGCCCAAGATCCATCAGTTGGTCTCCCTACTCCAGCACACAGCTACATATTTTTGGCGACGGACCAAGCATGGAACTGAAGGTTTGGACAATGCTTGGGACTGGCAGAGACGCACTGCGCTCGAAGCTTTCCAACAACCTGTGGCAAGGCATCGTTGCACATATATACGCATTTATCAACGCCATGCAGCGTTATATAGGATTTCGACGTGGTTCACACAATCAAGAAATCTACGCGGCCCTTGCTTAGAGATCATCCCCATCTCGCTCGAGCGATCATCAGACACCTTACCTTGCAGCACCTCCGCACCTTGAGCCCCCGCCCACTTCCCACGCCTTTGGCCATGAAAAAACGCCGGGTGGTGCAGGTGTGGTATTTCAACTTCATCCCTGCGTGAGGGGCCTCAATCGAACACGACGATCGGGTCGGCCTGAAAGAGACATCTTTGGGGTTGTGCCATCTACACTCCCGAAAACTAACATAGACCCTGACAATGGTAACCTGGAAGATTGTTTTCCTCTACCAACCAGTGGTTTTCAGGGTCCATGTGCGTTTTTCGGGAGGTGTAGATGGCACAACCACTTTTTGGTTTGTTCCGCATGCATCTCCACGGTCGAAGAATCGATTCTTTGGCGGGTTGGCGGTGTGAGCCCCCTGGCCATCTGCCATTGGATCCAACTTTCATTGTGACCTCGCAGCGACCAAGAGCAAGAGCAACAAGATGAAAAAGCAGGTCTCAAGCTTAAGGGTTCAATTCACACATATGGTATCATATGGTTGCATTTACACTGAAGCCAAGCCGAAACACCCAAATACCCTGGACATTACAGTATTTTTGGACAGCAATCGTGCATCCGAATGACCGGTCAAAAGCCAGGTCATTGACAGACAGAACTTGACAGAGCTTTCTTGCCCACAAGATCCGCAAAATCCAGCACAGTTTCCGCCATTGAAATCCGCCCTCATGAACTCGGGCTATCAGTTATTAGCGAAACTGTGACGTGAAAAGCATCTTCTCCATGAACAGCTGCTCATCGCAAGAGTAATCGGCCAGGCCTCATCCCTGGTTTCAGTTTGCCAAGTATCCCCAGCTCAGACAGGCAGGCGCCAGTGGTTGTTCGTTGCGCGGGCTGGGTGGTAACGGAAGATCCGTTCTGGCCAGGCTTCATCCCAAACATGTTTTTTGGGCCCCCTGTATCTCAGATTCGCAAGGAAAGTTGGCAGGGTCGGCACAGGAGATGGCTAGTGCTGTTGTTTCGACTGGTTCGGACACCCAAAAGAGGCATAGCCATTGGATTTGAGAAACGTCAGGCTTGGTGCATTGGATCATTTGACTCAGTCTACCCAAAAAAACACCTTCTCTGGACTCTTGCCGCTCTCGAAGACTCTTGGTGAAGTGGGGCGACCGAGTGGCGAGAAGTCTCCAGGCGATTCAAAAGGCCTTGGGAAAGAGGCAACCAGAACTTCCACAGGCGTGAACTGCGGCCGGTGGAAGGCAGGTGGTGTTTATTTTTTTGGATGAAGTGGGGGATGTGTGAAAGAAGGTCTGGGTGGTGGTTTATTTCTGGTGGATGAAAGGTGTTGGACGAAGTGGGAGGGTGGTGGATTGCTCAACTTGAGCTTGGTCGTAGAATGTGGATCTGAACTAGTCCACGATCAAGCTCGCAACTCCAAAGAATGATCATGCCGTAACTAGAGTCTCACTAGAGGATCAACTTTGGCAATTTGTACACTTGCAACACACCCACGTGTCTCATTAACATTGATCTGGCCACAGCCACGGCTGTCAGGTTCTTTGCCTCGTTGGGTGTCAGAATCTTTACCCTCCCAAGGCCAACATGGCGCCCCCATCTTCGGAACCCTCCAATGGTGCAGAATGTTTGTTGTGGGGTCAGGAATCTGGCAAACATTGGGATCTCTCTCGAACTCTATGCCCAAACAGAGATAGATGTCAATTTGGCAATCTATATAATTCTATATACTGTATAGTTATATACAATGTTATACAACATATCATGTACACACATCATTAATAAGATATCCATAGATATCCACAAAAGATTTATGATAAAGATCGTCACTTCCACCGTTTGGTCCCTTCCGCGTGCACCAGACCAGGCCTTGCTGGACCTCCATGCCGCGGCCGCACAAGCGGACGAGTGCGACACTGAGCGAACGCTCTCGCCGGGGGTCGAAGCGCGAACCGGACGAGTCGACCTCTTCGTCGACGTGGGACTGACGAAGAGGGTGCGGGGGGCCGGGGACGGGGGTTTTGCGGAAAGACGAGGTGTGTCGAAGGGGGTGTCACAGCGAAAACACCACTTCTGCAACTGGGATGGATGTTTGGACTGGTGAAAAGTGCTAGTGATTGGACTGGTTGGCCCGCAGAAATCTGGCGAGCAGGAAAGCGAAGCGGTGCATGTTTTGGACAGAACTCACGTCTCACATGCTGAGACTTTTTACTGAGACAGTACGAGATTACATGAAACTCCATGAAACTCCTTGATGGCGAAAGGACTCGGATGGTTGGACCAAGTCATGACTTGGTTCGTTTCGTGTGGCGATCGGTGCACCGCCGACCGATCGGTGCATGAAGGAACGACGCGCATGTGCTACTGGTTACGCAAGTGTGCACCAGGCCCGGGGCCGGGTTCTGCGGCGGGGTGAGGATCGTCGGTGCACCAGGGCTTCAGACCTTTCCATTGAGGATCGTCGGTGAACAGGGAAACCCAGATTGATCGATCTTGCGGGATGCGAGTTTCGCGGTGGCAACGTCGGGCTCGCGGCTCGGGGCTCGCACACGACACGTCGGGCTCGCGCCGGGTAGTCTTGGGGGCGTCGAACATGCTCGCGACCTGTTCGGTGACCTGTCTAAGGTAAACTAAGCCAGTCAGGTAACTGGCATGTTTGATTGAGCTGGCCACCCCAGCAAAGAAGACGCATTGCATGCTTGGGACACTTGGGCACCGAGTTGAGAGCTCAATATCCAATCCAGGCATCCTGATGACCACCTCAGACAAAAACACCCTCCAGCTGGTTCTTGCAAAGGGAAATACGTCGGCTTGGCCAAGAGCCACTGTCTTTGTTCAAGATGGACTCGATCAAGAGACAGGGCCAGCAAGTATTGAATCCTCAACAGGCCTCCCTAAGTTTCCACCTGTTAGTTGCATTTAGTTGCACCATGTTGCACCGAACAAACTCGAAAAAAGTCCTCTCCAAAGCTTGAAACAAGGCCAGTTGCTCAATGCTACCAGAAGAAGCCCTTTGAGCCTAAGTGTGCTTCTATTTTCTTGGAGGGACTACACTATGTAAAAGGGCCCATATGGCGGGGACCGCTTCGGTCCCAAGGTCGTCTCGATGCACCAAGATTGCTTCCAGTCGTCACCGGAGTCGTGGGTGGAGGTGAACCGGTTTTTGTGGGTTCCGGGAACGTCACACCCTCCACGTCCGGCGCTCCACGTCCGTCCCCCGCGGGGGACGGAGGGAGAGGCGCTCCACGTCCGGAGCGGGCGGTGTGAGTCGCGACGTCAGGTGCCTGCAATGGGCTCCAGAGGAGCGGTCCAGCGCCAAGGAGCTCCAGCACCTCGGAGTCCACAAGGGCGAGGTCGCGAGGGGAAGACGGTTCCGGTGGGCGGGTCAGTTTGGTGACTCGGGCAGAGCTGTAATAAGCACAAGGTCATTTCGTTCGGTGAGCTGTAATGGTGTAGTTTGTCTCTATCTCTACTTAAACAAGTATATATATATATAAATATCACTATTCGGCCTGCAACCTCAACATCATCCACTGGGCCCTGCAAGCTGCAAGATTGGGATAAATCCAAGCCATAGGGTTCATAGTGTATTACACATAGGTCTCCAGATTGGGCAGTGGAAGTTCTCTATGAAGTACATTTTACATCATTTTACAGATGATTGGAATACCTTTTCAACTTTTGTTTCACCTTCCAAGTAGTCGTTCTTGTTCGCTTCACCGTATGCCCACATGACTTTGTGTATGCGGTGACTGGCATGCGAGCCGAACAGGCTTCATGGCCGAACGGGGAACCGGGCCAAGTGATCCAACAAATGCTGATCATCCTGGTACACAGCGAGAGCAGCAGCTGTTTAGGTGATCAAATTGTACTTGGATATACTGGGACGTCAGGGCTCAGAAAAGGGATTATACATCCAGGTGATGATTTGAGCCATGTTCACGAGTTTTCTGGAACTTGAAGCCTTTGCAGCCCCTGCAAATCTATCCTGAATCAATACTGACATGGTGACATGCAAAGGCCGCTGCTTTGGACACGTGGCACACCTTTCGACTTGATCAGGATTGGGTTGGGAGTATGAAGAGCGGAGCTGGACTTGCCAATCTTTGGCTTCCACCGTCATTGAAGGGATGCTTCGGGGTGGAGCCAATTCTTTTTCCAACCCAATCGGCCGGGATTCGTTGGCGAGCCATGAAAACCAAAGGGCGGTAACCAGTTTCTCCGCAGCTCAAGAGTCGTACTCTCAGCCTTTAGGGGGCTTGCAAGCTCACTTTAGGGTCTTAGCGATGGGCTGAAGTCTCAGAACCAAAGCATCCAACTGCTCAAAGCCAACGGGAGCAGCCGGATACATCGAAAACGCTTGGCCGGGAGGAGGATAGGATGAGAGATGAACAGATGAGAGACCCCACCTGATCTAACGTTCAGAATCGATCAGAATGGTGTGTTGAAACGTGAAGATCTACCATCAAAGGGTGTGTAAAGTGCATGGAATGTTCAGAAAACTCAACAGCAAGCTAAACCGGATATGGGTTTGGCACCTTGCCTGCATGGCTCCCTACTTTTGCCCCCTGCCTTCGAAAATGTCGGGATCAGAATTTCTTTCGAAGGGGGCTTTCCTGACGCTGACAACACGTACCCACAGTCAGTCTTGTTTTCTTTGGCCTCTTCCTTCTTTCGTGAACTAGACCCAAAGAAGATTCTGAACCTGTCACCCGTCGCTTGCGCTCCGTGTCCTGCAAGCTCGGCGAAAGGGTATTCTGCTTCCCCCAAACCTTCGTCGCATCCCGTCCGAGGCTGGAGGTCGCAGATCACCTATGACTCTCCCAGCGAAGGAGCGAGACGGACGCCCGGACCGGGGAGTGGTTGAACAACATGGACCCCCAGTGGACGTTTCAACCGTGCGACGTGCTTCTTTGATCGAATTCTTCTCCTTTGCCTGGAATGTGCGTAGGCTTCTTTTCGAACTAGTGTTTGGAAGTTTGGACCTCTTTGGGCATTGCTGCAAGTGGCTTCTTTCTCGTGGACCGGGTCTACCGGTTCCATCCAGATGCGTCTTGGCGAAGTCTTTAAACATCTGCGTTCATGGATGTATGACCAACACAAATTGGAGATGATTCGAGAGACCTGTAGATGACACCACATCAACTCCCCTGAGTGGAATCAACTCGGGTAATTACATGCTCGGTGTCATGCCTCAGCCGTCTATACAAACCAACATCCCAGCCGCTTCGAAAAACTGCGCGGCAACCCCCAAAAGCTGTCACGGTCTTTTTTCGAGCAAGATCTCTCCCTCACCACATCTCCCTCACCGTGGACAGTGACTGGACAGTCGAGACCCAAACGTTCGGAGAGGCTTAATTCAGATGTCTCTGGCAGCTTTGAAGGCGACCTTGCCGACCTTGCTTCGGGGTCCAGCGGTGCTGGGGGCGGGGCAAAAGCGCTTTTGGACCGGAACGCACACCTTCTGAAGGCGTAGAACAGGCATGGGTTCACTTCGATGTGCAATTCATGAATTCGTTGACTTGGCCCTTTTTGGTGTTCGGCGTCTCTTCACTCTGCCTCGTGAGAGGGAGGCATCCATCTTCCGGTAAATAGTGCTCCAACCAGACATGAAGCATGCCCCAATTTGAGCGCCCTGGACGGTTGAAATTTGAGCGCCGCAGTTGAGGAGTCTGAAACCGGTTGTTTTTGCTGCTGTTGCTGCTGCTAGGAACAAGAAGCTACCAGTAACAAAGGCAAGGACGAGTAGCAAGGACGCTACTACGTAGTATTTAAAGGGCATTACGACTACTGTTACTGTTGCTGTTGCTGTTGCTGTTGTTGTTGTGGTTGTGGTTGTGGTTGTTGTGGTTGTTGTGGTTGTGGTTGTGGTTGTGGTTGTTGTTGTTGTTGTTCACATTTTGCGAGATTCCCACAGCTGTGCTGTTCCCTTTTTCCCATGCGGTTTCCACGCCTCCGGTGTGTTTCAGTCATGGATTTGGACCCGTGGCAGATGGCGCCCCCCCCCTTCCGTGCGGGTCCGTGGACTTCCGCACCGTCTTCGCGGCTCACGGCTTCGGTGGAGCTTCCAACCAGACGTCGTTAGAGCTGCTGATTTCGCCCTGGTCTGCTGGATTTTCAGGGTGGAGAAGGAGATTTCGCCCTGGCCCAGGCTTTTCAGGGTTCACTGGGTACAGACGGAGAATGTCCGGTGGCCCAAGGTTGGGGGGGCTGATGGGGGCTGAATGAAGCAGTGGAAAGATCTCATTTGGAAGCAGACCCACTTACTGTAGCTGCCCATCCAGAGCTTCAAGACTGGAGCTGAGGCAAAACAACCAGGCCCCCCCCCAAAAAAAACTCATTTTCCACATCACCCCCGTCCGCCGCATCACCCACCTCTTTCCCCAGCAGACGAACGCTCCGGGCTCCGCCGGTCACCGACCCGGCGAGTTTCCGGCGCCGAGGCAAGTTTCCGTTTCGGGAGCACTCTTTGAATGAGCTCCCTGTGTCGGGTCACCTCAGTTGGACCTGTGGTGACCTCCCCACGGACCCGGCTTGACCGGTCCCCCTCGCGAGGCGGGAAAGGTCGCGCCGACTGCGAGAGGAGCGACTGGAAGAAGAGAGGACTTGATTCATCCACTGGTTCATCCACTGTCCACCGGTCGACTTGATTCTCATCCCGGGCTCCGCTCTCGTGTCACAACATCCTCCCCACCGAGGCATGCGCCGATCCCTCGGTGAACAAAGGGAGGACTTCGCCGAGCTCCGCTTTGAGCTGTTTCGTCGCCCGTGGAGGGCGGCTGAGACGAACGGAGGCCAGGTATCGGGTGAACACGGTGGGTGGGCAGTGTGAAGGGAAGCCTGGTTGCCATGCCATGAGCCTCTCAAATGAACTCCCATGTTATGTCGCTGCCCTCCCCTCGTGCGCAAGGCCTGGTCGGTTTCTTCGTCGATCCGGGCTTCTTCCTCACGACCGGGGCACGTTGTATGACGCACGTTCGCACGGCCGTTCCGCACCGTTTGGCCACCGAATGCAGGGCGGATCCTGCGCCGAATCCGTGCAGGCGCCCTGGGCACCAGCACGGTGGGTTTGGACGAGAAAACCGAGAGTTCCAAGAGGCAAACACCCAGTTCCAGAAACAAGTCTGGTTGCCACTATGGCAAGTGAATCCTCCTTGAGTTCACAATGGGGAGCCAGTTGCCCCCACAAAATGGGTTACAAAGGGTCACTTCATATAACCCTTAACCTTGAAATACTTGAACATATTTTGGAACACTAGTTGGCAATCAAGGCATTTTATACAATACCATGGGGTGCAGGTAGGTTCAAGATGTGAGCGCAATCAGTGCTTTCGTCGTGAAGCCTGACACGTCATTTTATATAACCATGTCACAGATTACCGAGGAACATCATGGAAAAAACGATTCTTTGGAGCTTGGCAAAGTAATTTGATTAAAACACATAACACCTGGATTTGAGCATATGTTATAATGATCTTATTTTTTTGTTTGGTTATGTCATTTTATGAGGACTCATGGGTTTGGCCTTTGCTGCCTACCTTAGGCCTGGCTTTTCTGTAATGCAGGTTAGCCCATTTCATAAAAAGGTCGGTAAGTCACTTCATAAAGAAATTCCGTGGCATGTTTATATTATATATATGTACACCAACTAGTTCTTACAGTATATTCTTTTCTCTTTTGCCCATTCAGAGGTGCTTTCTGACAGGAATCAAAGGATATCAAAGGTACGGGAGGGGGTAGATCCACAAGGTATCTGATCTTCTATTTGGATGGTTTGGCAATCTTCTGGCTGTCTCGTGCCGAGTCTCTCGATAAGCCCTTGAAATGTGAACGTAACAGATTTAATGTACGTAGACTCTTGATTCATTAAACAGAACCCATGTGGATTGTAAAACCTCCTCAGGCTTGTGTGGTTGAAATATCATTAAGAGTCTACATAACAGATTTGTAAAATCGAGTCTGGAATACCTGCCTTTGGGGATTCCCTCAATTCTGCCACGATTGCCCCAAGAGTCGTCGCCAGGATGATCCCATCGATGCATGCTTTTTCCAATGTGTGGAAGCCCAGGTCAACATCAGGTCCAACGGAATCCCTTTGGACACTGGAAGAAACATGTCTCAGATTGACTGAATCAAAGAAGCGCACTTCAATCTTCCAAGAATCTTGTCTTGTTCGTTGAGGTTCACCTCACAGCCATGTATGCTTGGTTTCATGCACGACACAGAGTTCGGATGCCAACCTTTTTATGATAGCGTGTTTCAGACAGGTGCAGGTGGTTTGGGGGTCCAACAATACTGTGGGTGGATGTAGATCAGAACCAAGTGGTTTCCCCATGCCGAACCAAGTGCAGCCGATGTCCCGTGCGGCGGAATGTCCCGTGCAGATCCGTGTGGTGTGGTGCTTCGACCGAGGTTTCGAAGCTCGTTCCAGGGCAAAGATCCCCCCTCAGCATTTTTCGGTGGCTGGGGATTTGTACAAAGCTGGTGAAGCAGGTGCAGCTTCTTCGACATCCGACTTGTCGTGAATCGGCTTGTTTTTCCATGTTTTTTTTTTTTTTTTCGAATGGAGAAATGGACCCAATGGCCATTGGAAGATGCTGGTGGGGCTCCACAGCGCCGGTGGGGGGTTTGCTCACCACACCGATGTGTTCGTAGTCTGTAAGTTTTGGGCGATTTGTCCCCCAACTACTCCTGAGGAAAGGCCCTCCAAGGCAGCTTCTCAACAAAGCCATCAAACGAAAGGAAGAAGACATGGAGGAGGGTTCTAGTTTCTATGTGTTCTTCAGCCGCTGCCGCCAATTGTACATGCCAAGTTGGCGACTTGGGGATTAAATTTTCCTGGGTCGACAGTTGACAGCCACAATCCTGCCAAGTTGGCACTGCACCTGCTGTCAAACCTGCAAATAGCCTCGTCCAGCATTTGCGGTATGTTTGAACCTCAAGTCAGAGGGAAGACTGGAGTTATAGGATACCAGCACCAGCTTGCAGAGCAAGTGGCTGTGAAGACGGAGCACATTGCCTTAAGGACATGCATTCTCAATTTGTTTACAGTACTCGACATGTTCCCAAGATGAAACTCACCAAACAGGAGTGCTTCCCGTGCAGCTTCCTGTGCAGCTTCCTGAAAAAACTATACAAGCATAGACCCCAAACAGTTTCAAAACGATTCGTTTAGACCAATATTAGCCAAAAATCGATTTCTTGGTACGCCCTACTTTCACCCCAAGAGCAAACTGCTATCGCTATTTGTTCGGCCACACTCCTCTCCAGTAAGCCGAGCCACAGAGACCAGCCACAGAGTTCAGGGGCGCGGCCAAGACAAGGACAAGAGGAGGACAAGACCCGGACACAGAGCCGGGCCACAGAGCCCAGCCACAGAGTTCAGGGGTGCGGCGAAGACAAGGACAAGAGGAGGACAAGAAGAGGACAAGGCCCAGCCACAGAGCCCAGCACAGAGGACAAGAGGAGGATAGCACACGAGCGCGCCCGGCTCGCCCTGCTCTCTTTCTTTCTCTCTTTCTCTCTTTCTCTCTTTCTGTCTTTCTTTCTTTCTGTCTTTCCGTCTTTCTGTCTTTCTTTCTTTCTTTCTGTCTTTCTTTCTTTCTTTCTTTCTGTCTTTCTGTCTTTGTTTCTTTGTTTCTTTGTTTCTTTGTTTCTTTGTTTCTTTCTTTCTTTCTGTCTGTCTGTCTGTCTGTCTGTCTTTCTGTCTGTCTTTCTGTCTGTCTTTCTGTCTTTCTGTCTTTCTGTCTTTCTTTCTTTCTTTCTTTCTTTCTGTCTGTCTGTCTGTCTGTCTGTCTCTTTCTTTCTCTTCAGTTTATCTTTCTTTGTCTTTCTCTCTGTAGAGCGCGCTCTGAGCACGCCTTTCTGGAGCGTATGTCAGAGCGTGAGCCACAGAGCCCAGCCACACAGAGCCCAGCCACAGAGTTGACAGAGTTCAGGGGCGCGGCCAACAGGAGGACACAGAGTTGACAGAGTTCAGGGTCGCGGCCAAGAGGAGGACAAGAGGAGAACTACGAGGACAAGAGGAGGACAAGGCCTGGACACAGAGCCCAGCCACAGAGTTGACAGAGTTCATGGGGGGCGGGCAAGAGAAGGACAACAGGAGGGCAAGGCCTGGACACAGAGCCCGGCGCGGGCAAGAGGAGGACAAGAGGAGGACAAGGCCTGGACACAGAGCCCAGCCACAGAGCCCAGCCACAGAGCCCAGCCACAGAGTTGACAGAGAAGGCCTGGACACAGAGCCCAGCCACAGAGTTGACAGAGTTCAGGAGGACAAGGCCTGGACACAGAGCCCAGCCACGGAGTTGACAGAGTTCAGGGGCGCGGCCAAGAGGAGGACAAGAGGAGGACAAGGCCTGGACACAGAGCCCAGCCACAGAGCCCCGAGGAGGACAAGAGGAGGAGAAGGTTTAGCCACAGAGCCCAGCCACAGAGTTGACAGAGTTCAGGGGCGCGGCCAAGAGGAGGATAAGAGGAGGACAAGGCCCAGCCACAGAGTTCAGGGGCGCGGCCAGTGAGTGTGGCCAGCTCTTTTCTTTCTAAGATAGAGCCCCAACAGTAAACTGCTTGGGGAATGAACAGGATAGAACCCACGAACCCGAATGTTCCTCCCATTCAAACAGAGTATATAAATATATAATCTGAGAACAAACCTTTATCTCGTCTTTGCGCTCCAAGCGCAGGCTTCGTTCGAAAACAACATAAATCAGAAATCAGCTCCACAGCGAGCACGAAATCGCGCCGCAGCACACGGCCAATGACACCTGCGATGGGGAAGTGATGGATGGGGAAGGGATGTACTGCGCAAGGTTTCCCTCACTTGCTTCATCTTGTTTCTGTGATTCAGAAAATCATGCCATCGCGGAACATGACGCATACGATCACCACGGAACCGTTCCGCGCAACCGTTCCGTCGCGTGCCAGCTTCGTGAAGGGCAATGAAGGGCAATGTGTCTGAAAGTGTTAGCCCGCTAAGTCATGCTCACTCCCACACCCAAGCCGAAGGCACCTTGTGGGCAGGCCAGAGACATACTGTGCCGGCGGTCAGCATCAAATTTTGACTTATTGGGTGCGAAGTGTTACGTAAATGATTCAGAAATAGAAGGTTTGGCCGTCCCAGAATCTGCCTGGCCGCTACTGCAACGGGCAGAGGAGGCCAGCTCTATCTTACACATGGTGACTCCGTGTTTGTGGTTGTTGTTGCTGCTGCTGCTGCTGGTGGTGTTGTTGTTGTTGGTAGAGACAAAAACAGCCGCCCAACATAGTTGTCACATGTTGCAAGTCAGGGATTTCACTGGGACTCTGTTAGGGATAGGGTCGAAGGTTTGGAGAGATGTTAGTAGCTGGACTTCTTGTCGTTGTGGTACTCAAGTCTTGGTTGGTCTGCTTCTTGTTTTTGTTGTGTTGTTTTTTTGGGGGGGGTCAAAAAAAACAACAACGGGGTTGCAGATTTTGTTTCTAGATGGGGTAGAGACAACAACATCTTTTGGAAGGGGGGGGTCCAAAAAACAACCACGGGGTTGCAGTTTTTGTTTCTAGGATGTGGTAGAGGTTCTAAGTAGAAGTTTTGCAGGGTTTACTTAACCAGTTACAATAAGCATCACCAGTAGCATGACCCTCATAGGAGTTTCATAGACCCTAAGAAGGCGTTTAAATCGACCATATTGTTCCATTGGAATCCAAAAACTTCCAGGAGTCTCCAAGAAAAGACTGATTTTCAGTGCATAGATTGAGAACCGGGTTTCCACCCCCTCCGCCTCCGCACACGCCCCGCGCACTGTCCACACGTCCCGGGGTGGGGGGTGTCTACCACTAGTAGTAGTAGCACTAGTACCACTAGTAGTAGTAGCAGTAAAGTGCTTGTTGTCCGGTTGTTTTGGGGGGGGTCAAAAACAACGACGGGGTTGCAGAATTTGTTTCTACCCCCTTGTAGAGAAAAAGAAAGAAGATGTGGTGTAACGGGGTTGCAGTTTTTGTTTGTACCTTGTTGTTGTTGTTGTTGTTGTTGTTGTTGTTGTTGTTGTTGTTGTTGTTGTTGTTGTTACCTTACTCAATTTGACTCGATGTACGGTGATGCAATCATGTATATGAATGTATATGGTTCCATGTGCCGTGTGCCCTTGTAAATCACTAGGCAATCGCTCCAATGTCAGCATTCGCTCCAAGAACCTGCGAAACAAAGGAACAAGTCCACCACCTCCCACGACCTCCGTGCTTTCTACGCACCTGTGAGTTGGATCCCCTCACTCAGGAAACGTGTCTCTTTGGCAGAGAATTAACCCTATACCACTATCAGTGTCTTTTTGGACATATATATATATATACACCACTAGTAAATGTCTCTTTAATTCGGAAGCCACTTGCTTTGTGCAGAGATGCCATCTTTCAGTCCGTGGACGACTGGCAGATCTGTGACCTCTGGCACATCCCACCAGTAGATCACTGAGATCACCGAGAAAGTCAACATAGGAGGAAGAAACCCAGTTCACCCTCCTTCCAACAATCATAGAAGTTGAGCCAGTAGCCTTCCAAGATCCATGTTGGGCTTTGGCTAAGTATTTAAACGGTACAGTGGGACTTACCCCAACATGAGAGTTCCCAAGAAAGTCTGAAAAACTGGTAGGGAGACTCCAGACGGAGGAGGTTGTGACCCGTTCAGTCCTCTCAATCAGTTTGGTGTTCAGTCATCAAAACTTGTAGGGGAGAAAAACAATCGTTTTAATCTCTTGGGTGTGGTTCGAACATTAAACGATGAAGAGTTCGGAGTTGTTCATTGTTTCAGAGTGAGTGAGAGTAGGGCTGCATGTGTATGGATGTATTCCATGCCCAATGGGTGGGTATGAATGTAGTCTATGCCCAAATGGGGGGTACATTAAATTAGTGGTAGGTGGAAGAGACATAGCGTTCTTGTGTTGATGAAGGTTTCAGTTTTGATGACTTTCAAGTGCATTGGTCTCATGTTGATGCTGTCGGGTGTAGTTTGTCCTTGATATTGTTATGTGTTTTTCGACACAACATGCTGCACACAGTCGCATGTTGCACATTCGACTAGGTTCAACAGCAACAACATTAACATTAAAGCTTCCCACAACGACTACAACAGCAGCAGCAACGACAGAAAAAACGACAACACAGCAACAAAAGGTCTTCACCAAAGGACAAGGTCTTCTTGCGATTCACTCGACATGGCATCTCACGAAGTCTACAACGGTTATGGCTCTTGGGATGGGCCTAGCAGATCCGCACTTGCGGAAGTCCTGGTTGCACTTGTGCGCGACCAGCCGCGACCGAGCCCTTTGGCTGACCTCTTTTGTGGCCTTTTCGGCTTGGTGGATCAGCTGCCTGAGAGTGAGCCCACTAATATGTGGTGGTACCATTTCGGGGGAGTCCAGTTCCCAGTTCCCACAAAGGTAAACCTATTTGGCAGAGTGAGTGCACATGTCTACCATTGGTTTCTGGAGGTATAGATGTAGTATAGGGTGTTTTTTTTCCAGGTGAGCTGCTGAGCCTCTGTTGGTGCGGTAAAGCTTCCTGCCCTGAGGG